TGGAAATTAGACATTTAAAATAACAATAATAGACCTTATTTGACCTTAAATGTCTGTTCAGAATAAAACTGGACCTCAAATTCTAAAGCATTGCTGTGACACATAGATTAGTTTAATCACTGTATGTCATAGAAACTCTTTCCCTGAACTGGAGAATCAGTGTTTTTACTGAAGAGGTAAAATGGTTATGACTTAAATGTACTTCATCACTGGAGTAATATGTGTTTAGATTATCACTGGTAAATGTATTTTTGCATCAGTGTATAACATATGATTTACAGACTGTAATAGTCCATAACGTTAATTAAAGCCTTTTCTTCGCTCATACATGGTCAATAAAGTAAACAGAAAATTTATAAAGGGTCAAATAACAATGTTTGATGTAACGTTACGTCACCATAACAGCAGTGGCACTAATACTTTTAACATGGGGGCAATGAAGAAACAGTAGGAGAATGGGATGGGATAAAACCTTGACACAGGATCAGACACAGCAGTGCTGCTGGAGTTTTTAAACACCTCAGTGTCACTGCTGGACTGAGAATAGTCCACCAACCAAAAACATCCAGCCAACAGCGTCCTGTGGGCAGCGTCCTGTGACCACTGATGAAGGACTAGAGGATGACCAACACAAACTGTGCAGCAGCAGATGAGCTATCATCTCTGACTTTACATCTACAAGGTGGACTGACAAGGTAGGAGTGTCTAATAGAGTGGACAGTGAGTGGACACAGTGTTTATAAACTCCAGCAGCACTGCTGTGTCTGATCCACTCGTACCAGCGCAACACGCACTAACACACCACCACCACGTCAGTGTTACTGCAGTGCTGAGAATGATCCACCACCCAAACAGTACCTGCTCTGTGAGGGTCCATGGGGGTCCTGACCACTGAAGAACAGGGTAAAAGGGGGCTAACAAAGTATCAGAGAAACAGATGGACTACAGTCTGTAACTGTAGAACTACAAAGTGCACCTATATAGTAAGTGGAGCTGATGAAATGGACAATGAGTGTAGAAACAAGGAGGTGGTCAGAATGTTATGCCTGATCGGTGTATATATAAATGCATAAACAAAGGAAAAAAAACTTTTTATATTTTATATTTCATAATTTTTATATTAGGTATTATGATTGTTTACTGAAGTGTATCTTTTTTGCTTTGTTAACTGGGCTCTTTAAAAAGTGACATAACATTGCAAAAAAATTACAGAACAAAAATCTTTTTCTTCTCACTCTTTTTACTGCTGTTAAATTATCGTCCTCTGAGTTTTGCAATAACTGGCTGCTCCACTGATTCTCAGAACATTTTGGGTGCTATTTTATCACCTCACTGTTCTTCTCTGGGCTCTGAAGACATGATGGTCAGGGTGGGTTATGAGGGTCCTAAGTCCTTTGAGACTCCAGCTCCAGTTTTCTAAACAGTGGATCAAAAAAGGTTAAAGATTCAGAAAGACTCGCCTCACCTTCACCTCTGACATTAAAACTTTGTGGTCAGTTCATCATTAGTTTGGGCACAAGCTTTAGGAATCACCTGTGAGGGGAATTTGAATGGACCTAAGTGATCAGTATCACCTTTAAGGCGACAGGTTGATTTATTTTTAATAAGGCGCATCCATGAATTCATATATTGAGGCCATAAATATTGACTTAACTCGTGGCCTCGTGTATCAGTTTCGCCTTATTAAAATAATCACCACTTTCAGCTCCCGGGCTCCGCAGGATCAGAGCACACAGACTTCATCTGTGAGGGAAAGTTGAGTGGACCTGAGTGATCAGAGCAGCGCTTCCTCAGTGAAGACCAAACCGAAAGTAACTCTGAGGAAAGTAACGGTAACATGTCGCCATCATAGTCCGAGAGAAGATCCCCCAGATCAGCGCTCTGGACTCAACACGGTGAGATTATTCAGCACAGAAATGAGGAATACTGACTGAGATTAAAGCAGGACCGGGTGTTGGTGTTTCCTCCCGGTTTAAACCCGTTTTAATCCGAACTCAGAACTGGACTAAACTCCTCCTCCGAGCTACAAAATGTCTGGCGGTCAAAGACGGAGCCGCGGTTCTTATTGAGCTGAAAGGACTGAAAGGTTTCACTATAAACAGGTTTAACTGTAGAGAAACGCTGTAAAGCTGGATTTACTGAAGGATCAGCGATCAGCGCTGCTTCACATTCAGCTCTGCTCCTGTTTTAGTCCGATAAACACCAGACTGACTGATTACTGTAGAGCCCGCTCGCGGAAGGAGCGGCTGCGCGCTCGAGACACCTCGATCCTCCATTTTCTCGTGTTGACGCCGCAAAAAATCAACCGGGTTTATAAATATACATATATAAATATATACATTTTAAACGGATTTTATGGATAAATGAGCCGCAGTCAGGAGAGAGAGAGGAAAATAAACACACAAATCATCAACCAGTAAGTAAATAAATAAAATCATAAGTTTTAAAAGTCTTGGCTAATGCAAATAGTGACGTGCCTGGGGCGCGTGACAGCGAGAGAGAGAGAGAGAGAGAGAGAGAGAGAGTAATTTTTATTAATAAATCTTTAACTAATCATTATTAGTATGAACAGATAATTAATCTATCAGAGTTTGAACCTTTACAGTTGTTTACAGATGATGGTCCACATAGTTGTTTATGAGTGTATTCATATTTATAAATGACAGTTTGCAGTCGTATGTAAAAGTTTGTGCACCCCTGGTCAGATTCCATGTTGTTGATGTTCTGAGTGTAAATAAGTTACAGATCATCTACAGAGACTCAGTACTGCACATTTTAATACACAACTACTGATTATTTGCTGAATTTAACAGACAGGGTAAAAAATTAAATATAAAATGTGATCTGGGCAAAAGTAATACAGGTTTAAAATGTTTTCCCCCAATATGTTTAATGTTTAAATTAAAATGGTCAGTCTCATAAAGCTTATGATTATAAGTTTATCACTGAGGATTTGGTCAGGGGAGTAAAATTTTAGAGCACATGTAGAAACACATGCTGTTTTGATGCTTTGCTTTATTTTATAATATATTCTTTTTAATTATATAATAGAAGACGGCCTATATTCTCAGCCACTGCTTGTGGAAGATAAACAACGTTCAGATTAAAATATTTCACAAATATGAAATATTTTGATTCACTATCAAAGTCAGTCTTTACATCAATGCAAAACTAGGATATGCAAATGAAGACAGCTGTTCATCAGCATGCAGCTTAATACCTGTACCAAAAAAAAGGAGTGCAACCAAATCATGTGCTGCTGTGACCATCTGAGACCTGAAGGTGCAGGAAAAACTTCACAGGGCTGAGTTGGTGACTTCAGGAAGTTGGTCACTTAACTTTAAAAGTTCAGTAGATGGAAAAAACACCTGGAAATATCTGCATGACGATTTGCTGAGTAGGTGCTTAATTACATGGACAGATGAAGTAGATTACAATTACGAGTAAGATATGCTGTCAATAATGACTGTAATATGATTTAGCATCATACAAAGAGACATGACACGATATCTAACAGTGGCTTAATATAACACCTGCTTTATCCCAAAATCATATATATATATATATACACACACCGATCAGGCATAACATTCTGACCACCTCCTTGTTTCTACGCTCATTGTCCATTTTATCAGCTCCACTTACTATATAGGTGCACTTTGTAGTTCTACAGTTACAGACTGTAGTCCATCTGTTTCTCTGACACTTTGTTAGCCCCCTTTTACCCTGTTCTTCAGTGGTCAGGACCCCCATGGACCCTCACAGAGCAGGTACTATTTGCGTGGTGGGTCATTCTCAGCACTGCAGTAACACTGACGTGGTGGTGGTGTGTTAGTGTGTTGTGCTGGTCTGAGTGGATCAGACACAGCGGTGCTGCTGGAGTTTTTAAATACTGTGTCCACTCACTGTAGATGTTGTAGATGTAAAGAATGATCCACCACCCAAATAGTACCTGCTCTGTGAGGGTCCATGGGGGTCCTGACCACTGAAGAACTGAATGTACACACACACACACATATATATATGTGAGAAACATAACAAGAAATGTAAAATCTGTAATTCATAATAATGATTAGAATCAAGAAAATTCAGTGCATCACGTAGCTAATATTGTTAACTGTAATGTATGTAGAGCGTATTTTAGTAATAATTGTATTTCATTTTAAGGTTTGATTAGAAATGAAAGTGTTAAAATCTCAAAACGCCTAATGGACAGTGATCCATTCGGGATACAGCAGATACAGTGAACTCTATCATTGGTCAGGACTTCAGGAGCTGGACTTACACATTAGGTTAGGTTACCAATAACGTAATTAGGTTTTACATAATAGGAAAATGATCATTACCTTATTAGTGGAATCAGTTGTATCATCTTATTGATCTATTTATTATGTCATTGGGATTTATTCAATTTTGGCAACAGTACAAATTTTATTACATTAGTATTTTTATTGTATTATTGGTGAACTATTACATTACTAGGTTGTGGAAGGAGAAACAAGATTTCTTTCTCTTAGCCACTCTACAGTAAGACAGGCCCTTATAAAATATGTATATATACAACCATATTTCCAAAAAAGTTGGGACGCTGTCCAGAATGTAAATAAAAATAAGATGCAATGATGTGCAAATCATTTAAACCATACTTTTAAAGCAAAATACTACAAAGACAACATATCGAATGTTGAAACTGAGAAATTGTATTTTTTTTTTTAATATATACCCATTTGAATTTGATGCTGACAACACATTCCAAAAAAGTTGGACCTGTTTACTGAGTTTCACCACCTCTTCTTTATCAACACTCTGTAAGCGTTTGGGAACTGAGGAGACACTGCTGTAGTTTAGAAAGTGAAATGTTTTCCTGTTCTTGTTTGATACAGGCAGAACTTCTTAGATTCAGCAGAGGACAAGTAAGAGAACCCAGCTGTGTATCTATGAAGAGTGACCGGTCCATGGCGGAAACTCTTGGATTCTGCAGAGGACGAGGAGGAGAACCCAGCTGTGTGTCTATGAAGAGTGACCGGTCCATGGCGGAACCTCTGATTCAGCGAGGACGGGAGGGACCCAGCGTGTGTCTATGAAGAGTGACCGATCCATGGTGGAACCTCTTGGATTCAGATTCTGCAGAGGAGGAGGAAGAGAAGCCAGCTGGGTGTCGATGAAGAGTGACCGGTCCATGGCGGAACCTCTTGGATTCAGCACAGGACGAGGAGGAAAACCCAGCTGTGTGTCGATGAAGAGTGACCGGTCCATGGCGGAACCTCTTGGATTCAGCAGAGGACGAGGAAGAAAACCCAGCTGTGTGTCGATGAAGAGTGACCGGTCCATGGCGGAACCTCTTGGATTCAGCAGAGGACGAGGAGGAAAACCCAGCTGGGTGTCTATGAAGAGTGACCGGTCCATGGCGGAACCTCTTGGATTCAGGAGAGGACGAAGAGGAGAACCTAGCCGTGTGTCTATGAACCCAGAGTGAGTTATTACCTTACAGTGTATCACTGATGAGTGATGAAGTGATAGTTTAAGAATTTTATCGTTTCATTGTTTATGACTGTGACGTTTATGAAAGTCTAATCAACTAAACTAATATGAAAGTGTCAAACACATCAATGAAGGTGTGAAGGATGAGTTCCTGCCTTATGAATATCAGTAGTAAACAAATCAGTTTACAAAAATAAACTCAAGAAGGCTTAAAATATTGATGTTTTGCCGACTGTTACACAGTTTACTCATGAAAAAGAAGTGAACATCTTAAATTATCTAACAATGCCTTTCTATATTTGTGTATTTTGTATATTGTATATAATCTCAACTGTACTACATTAACTTCAATACAATTTATTATACAAATAACTTCAATAATAATGGATATTATATGTACAGTGTTAATACCTGCCCTTTGAGAGAAACTCTGGCAGACGAGTGATTCCTCTCAGTTCCACCAGATGGCAGCAATGACTCACTTTGGTCTCCCCACTGAACCTACCACAAAATTACTATTAATTATTACTGGGTCAGGTTGTTCTGCGTGGTTCTCCAGGGCAGCTTCATCTACCTCAGACTCCAAACTACATTTCTTTTGAATTACATTAATCTTGTTCCTGTGGGTCCACACCATACGTCTACAAAGTATGTCCTGTGAATTACTTTCCAGTGACCGATCGTTGATCTACAAATGTCTAATTCTCTCCTCTTTCAGTGTAGAATGGGAGGTCGTAATCCTGGACAAAGCTTGCGTAAAATTTACCTCCACAAGGCTGGTGTGGCTTTTTCTGCCCACATAGCTGTAACTAATCTCTGCGCTCCCCAATGTCTCTTTATTCCAGTCTGAACAACGTATCAGGCTAAAGTTAACTAGAAAGCAAGAGCTAACCCAACCAGCAGAACCTACAGCTAGCAAGCAAGTTCATCTGTGTCCATCTTTCTGTGTGTCTGTGGTTCTTTCAGTTGGTTCATCCAGCTGTCTTTGCCAGACTTCCGTGAGATTTAATTACCTGCATTAAAGTGAATAAAAAAAACTGTTGCCACATTTTAGTGAGCCATGAGCACAGCAACGTAGCAGGGAACACAGCCTGCATGTGTAGAGTAGAGATGTGCATTCTGATAATTTTGATATTCAGGGATCCATAACAGTAAAAAACATAAAATCAATAAAAGCTGCACTATCACAGCCTTCTCAGTCACATCCTTAACAACGTCCAGACAGTTCTGAGACAGATCTGATCAGCAGTTTTAAGAGGTTTTTTAATTAAAACATTGAGGAAAGTTTAATATAACACTAAACCTAAACTTTTACATTTGACTGTATGTGAGAACAGTATGTGATATTTCCTCCTTAATCTATACTTTTTATGTATTGAGTCATGTTGAAAGCCACTGTAAAATACTAGATATTGATTTCTATATTAATGTGCTCTGAAAACCTCCTACAGTAACTCACATTCCTCTTTTTCTACTCCGTAGTTTGCGGAGTTCTGCAGTTTGCCATGTTCAAATGTGTCAAATATTATTTAATAAACTGAGAGGCTGTATGTGCATAATTTCATAATTTAAATGAAGATTTGCAGTGAAGTTAATTCCAATCAGCTTCTTACCTGGAGATTTACTGCCTGACTAGTTCAGGTGGTATTTTTTATGGGCTGATATTCTGATATATTCTGCTATCGGCACATTGTTGAAGGATAACAGCTGTAGTGCTACAGATTATGCAAACTGTAAACACACTGGTAATCCTCATTCATGAATGAGAGAATAAGTTATTGAGGTGTTTTTTACTCTTAGTGTAATTTTAAGTCTGGGTCATGGGGTCCTGATGCAAAACACAGGCAAACATACAGAAGAAGCTCCTCCACTAAGTACATGATAATAAAGACATGTGACGAGCAGTTTAATCAGCATATTTAACAGATTATTATGATTATTTATGTTGATGTTTGTGTTTCTGTGTTTGATCCTCTCAGGCTGAACTCACTGCAGATAAACACTCAGGTGGAGGAAACTGAAGACCTGCATCAGGATTCTTACCAACCAGTGAACGACGTCCTGAACAGAGTCTTAGAGACACACAAAACCAGCATGAAGAACAAGTACGAGAGCTTATTTGAGGGAATCAGAACAGAAGAGAATAAAACCCTCCTGAACAGGATTTACACACAGCTCTACATCATAGAGGGAGAGAGTGAAGGAGTGAATAAAGAACATGAGGTTCTACAGATGGACAAAACATCCAGGAAACACCTACAAGACATTTCAATCGACTGCTTAGACATCTTTAAACATGTAGAAGGTTCAAAAGGAGAAACGGATCAAAAAAAGATCGAAGCTGTTCTGACTAAAGGAATCGCTGGAATTGGAAAAACTGTCTCTGTGCAGAAGTTCATTCTGGACTGGGCTGAAGGAAAAGCCAATCAGGATGTAGAGCTCATGTTTGTGCTTCCGTTCCGGGAGCTGAACCTGATTAAAGATGGTCAATACAGTCTTCATGGACTTCTGTGTGGTTTCCATCCTGAGCTCAAAGATCTGGACCCAGAGATTTATGATCAGATCAAAGCTGTGTTTATATTTGATGGTCTGGATGAAAGCAGAATTCCACTGGACTTTGAACAGTGTGAGAAAGTATCTGACATCACCATGACATCATCAGTGGGTGTGTTGATGACAAACCTCATCAAAGGAGAGCTGCTTCCCTCTGCTCTGATCTGGATCACCTCCCGACCAGCAGCAGCCAATCAGATCCCTCCTAAATACATCAACCGTGTGACAGAGATTCAGGGATTCAGTGACCCACAGAAGGAGGAGTACTTCAGGAAGAGGATCAGTGATGAAGACCAAGCCCAGAGAATCATCTCCCACATTAAGACAGCGAGGAGCCTCCACATCATGTGCCACATTCCAGTCTTCTGCTGGATCTCAGCCACTGTTCTTCAGAGAATCATGAAACAGCCTCATACAGAAATCCCTAAAACTCTCACTGAAATGTACTCACACTTCCTGATCACTCAGACCAACATGAAGAACGAGAAGTATGAGGAGAAACATGAGAGAGACCAAAGAAACCTGCTGGAGTCCAACAGAATCATGTTTCTAAAAATGGCTAAACTGGCTTTCACACAGCTGATGAAGGGCAATGTGATGTTCTATGAAGAGGACCTGAGAGAGAACGGCATTGATGTCACTGATGCCTCAGTGTATTCTGGGATTTTCACTGAGATCTTTAGGAAGGAGGAATGTGTGCTTTTCCAGAAGAAGGTCTACAGCTTTGTTCATCTGAGCTTTCAGGAGTTCCTGGCTGCTGTTTATGTGATTCACTGCTATGAGTGCAAAATCATGAAGGAACTGCAGTGTTTTAAACCACAGTACAGTGAGTGGTCTGAGAATGTTCCACTGGATGATCTGCTGGAAGGAGCAGTGAATAAAGCCTTAAAGAGTCAGAATGGACACCTAGATCTTTTCCTCCGTTTCCTGCTGGGAATCTTGCTGGAGTCCAATCAGAAACTCCTACAGGGTCTACTGACACAGATACAGAGACAACCAGAGAGAATTAAAGAGCACATCAAGAACATAATAACAAATACAGATGAAGATGAAGAAGATGAACAAGATCACATCTCAGCTGAGAGATCCATTAATCTGTTCTTCTGTCTGTCTGAAATGAATGACCAGACTCTCTTCAGACAGATTCAGGAGTATCTAAAATCAGAGAGACACTCAGAGGAGAAACTCTCTCCTGCACAGTGTTCAGCAGTAGCCTATATGATCCTGAACTCAGAGGAGGTTCTGGATGAGCTGGACCTGAAGAAATACACATCATCAGAGGAGGGTTATAGGAGACTGATCCCAGCTGTGACCGTCTGCAGAAAAGCCCTGTGAGTGTTATTTCCACATAAATGTAACGTCTGTTATATTTAGATTAATATAACTGTTGAATTTTGAATGTTGATGGTTTGTTATGATAACAGATCCACTAAAAGGTTACAAATATTTTTTGTTATTTAATGTTCAGGTTTTTGAGTCTTTCAGCAGTACATTCATTTTCCACTTTACCATAAACCCTCCTTTGTAGCTTAACCTTGTTGGTGATTATTCACTGTGATTATAAGCAAAACCCATGTACCAGCATGAGTGGAGGCCTGAGCTCAGAGAGTCTCTCACTGACAGCAGCTATATTAGCTGCTTTTTACCACTGTTTATGTGCGTTACTGTTATTCAGCTTTAAACATATTTTGTTCTGATTGCCTGAGATTAAATTATGGATGCAGCAAAATTAAAATTTTTGTCCGAAACCAAAACCGAACAAAATTAAACATTCGGCCGAAGGCCATATACCGAATACCGAACACGGTTTTTCAGGGTTTCACTAATTTCGCCACTTTTTTCATCATTGCATAGATTAAATAGGTTAAATGTATTTTTGTCTTGGTTTTTTCTAAACTGCAACTTAAAAATATTTATTCATTTTTAACATCACAGCAGACACACCAACAAAGCACAATATGACTTAAATAAATTAGCAAAGAAATAATAATAACCCCCCCCCCAATAAAATTAAAAATAAAATGTCAATATTATGGAGGACCAGATTTGCCCAATTGAAAAATAAATAAAATAAAAAAATAAATGGCTCAGTAAATTAATCAATAAATAAAAAACTAAATAAAGTATATATTGCTTATTGTGATTGTAATTATACACACATTTCCTTGCAGTTATATATTTTTCAATTTATTTATTTCTGTATTATTTATTGTTTTATTAATGACATTTTCATATATTTTTCCATATCTATATTTTTAACAATTGTTCTCTTTAGTAATTCATTCATGTATTTATTTATTTATTTTTTCTCATTAATTCATTTATTTATTTCTGTATTTCTTCGTTCATATGATAATGAGGGGGCGTGTTTTCACGTTCAGTCTTAGCCATCAAGCCCAGGAGGAGAAGAGCTGATTAAACTGTTCTTTCACTCCATAAAGAGCTGCAACGTCACGAACAGACAGACCTGCTGATGAGTAACTCTCGATGGCTCCACAGGCCGGATGTGAGAAGGGCGTCCGAATGTCTGAGTTTGATCTGAATTCTGCAGAAAAAGCCGATTATTCGCCTCCTCTAAAGCTCTGAACACTATGGGGTCGACATCTGAATCAGCCGAGGCAGCTAAATGGAGCCGACTGTCCCCACAGCCTCCACACGAACCAGTAAACAACCCAGACCTGCATTTTCAGCCAGACCAGCCGAGACTCTCAGATCTCTGACTGTCTGCTGCTGTAAGAAGCCGTTACTGTACTGTCTGGTCCTTAGTTACCGCTGAGAGAGCAAGACATGAACAATCCATCTACAGAGTCTGACATCGATCAACCGATAGGAATGTTGAGACGCTGTGACATCATTGGCTGACAGCCCCTTTATTAGCATAAGGACAAGGAAATACAGAAATAAATAGAGAAATAAATAAATATAGAAATTAATAGTTATGGAAATAAATTAATAAAATAAATTAATAGAAAAACAGAAAAAAATGTTTAAAAAGAAACATAAATAACTAAATAAATTAGTGAGAAGGGGAAATTACTAAACAGACATATAAATAAATGCAGACATTAATTTATATAAGATTTTATTTATTAATATATTAATTGTTATGCATATTTATTTATTTTTAGATTTAATTATCATTATTCATTATTGCAATTCTACTTCATATATTAATTTACTTCAGTCATTTATTTTTAATTTTATTTATTTTTCAATTTGGCAAATCTGCTCCATAGTTTATATGATACTAAAATTGAATGTTGTATTAAACAATTAGCAAAGTTTCAATTAGGGCTGAGCGATGTGCCCAAAAATGTAATCACAAGAAAATGCATATCAGTTGATATTGATAATAAACATAAATAACACACACAAAAATTAGTGAGAAGAGGAAATTACTAAATAGACATAAATAAATGCAGACATACTAATTAATGTATTTTTTCCTTTATTAATGTATTAATTGTTATATTTATTTATTTATTTTTAGATTTATCATCATTATTCTTTGCAGTTCTACTTCATATATTAATTTACTGAGTCATTTTTATTTATTTTTCAGTTTGTCAAATCTGGTCCTCCATAAATAAGCCTTGTGTCGTGTGTCTGCAAACGGCCACTCTGGGGTCATTCTCTGACCCTTTAAAACGCTTCCACACAGCAGACATGTTTGCTGCATTTACTCAGAGCGCCTCACTCCACGCTGGTTGGTTTCATGGCGTTGTTGTAAAATGGGGGTCTGAGTTTCTTTAAGGGGGATACAGCAGCGCACCGAGAGAAAGAGAGAGAGAGAAGGAGCGCTGAGAAGCTGCTGTCTGTCTGCCTCGCTGTAGTGCTGCTTAAACACAGCGGCTCTGTTCTTTTCTTTACTCTTTCTGGAGTCACGTTTGGCTCGAATGCTGGAAACGGAATAAAAGCTGGGAAAGTTCAGCTCCGCTGTGACTCGCTGTGGAGAAATAACGCGTTAAAGTGGGCATCACCCTCGAGCGGTGGGCTCTAGGCCTGGAGATAAGGAGTAAAAGTTCCACTATGGTTCCCGCCTACGGCCGAGAACTAGACAGAGCTAATAGAGTCATTAAAGACGTCACTGTTCAGTATAAATTATTCAGTCTTTTCAAGTTTATTGTCATTTGCACAAAATGTCAGGACATTCATGCATTGAAATGCTTGTGGTGAGGCTCAGATAATCACTGTACAGCAAATAAACAAGTAAAATAAAAATCACAGAAAAACAAACTGAATATATTAAATATACACAAAATATACACAAAATATAGAGACAATATACATTTTAAAGTGACTTAAGTGACTCAGTGTTATTGTTCTTTAAAGTGGCTTAGTGTTAAAGTGTTATTGTCCATATCAGAGATATGATATAATAATAATGCTGACAGAGTGACTGAGTGAGATGGTGGTTGGTGAAGGACCCACAGCTTCACAGCTTGTTCAGAAGCCTGACAGCCTGTGGGTAGAAACTGTTCATTAGCCGGGTTGTTCTGGCCTGAATGCTGCGGAATCTCCTGCCTGATGGCTGGATGGTGAACAGGCCGTGTGCTGGGTGACGCTGCCTGACCTTCCTGAGGCAGCAGGACTGATAGACATCCTGTAAGGCTGGTAGTTTGTTGCCTATGATGGCTTCTGCCGTCCTCACCACTCCTTTAAGGGCCTTGCGGTCGCAGGCGGTGCAGCTGCTGCGCCAGACAGTGATGCAGCCCGTGAGGAAGCTCTCTATGGTGCATCTGTAGAAGCTGGAGAGGATCTGAGGAGGCAGACCAAACTTTCTGAGCCTATGCAGGAGGAAGAGATGCTGACGGGCAGATCTCACGATAGTGTTGGTGTGGAGGGACCAGGTGAGGTCATCAGTGAGGTGTACGCCGAGAAACTTCACACTGCTGACTCTCCACTTCGGCTCCAAGATGATGTTAGACGTGTGTTTGGCTACACAGTCATGTGTATACAGGGAGTACAGGAGGGGGCTGAGCACTCATCCCTGGGGAGCCCCTGTGCTCAGAGTCAGTGTGGAGGAGAAGCTGTTCCCAGCTTTCTCCACCTGGGGTCGCTCGTCAGGAAGTCCAGTATCCAGTTGCAGAGATGAGAGTTCAAACCCAAGTCTGTGAGCTCAGGAATGAGTCTGGCAGGGATGATTGTGCTGAATGCTGAGCTGTAATCTATGAGCAGCATTCTTACATATGTGTTCTTTCTGTCCAGGTGTGTGAGAGCAGTGTGTACTGTTAGTGCAGTGGCGTCGTCTGTGGATCTGTTGGAGTGGTATGCAGATTAGTGAGGGTCCATGGTGGCTGGAAGTGTTGAGCAGATGTGAGCTTTGACCAGCCGCTCGAAGCTCTTCATCACTGTAGATGTCAGTGCAACAGGGCGGTAGTCATTCAGGCAAGTGACAGACGATTTCTTGGGGACTGGAACAATTGTGGTTTCCTGAAAGCACGTGGGAATCACTAGCCACGTTTACATGCAGCCTGATAATCCGTTAATAATCCGACTAATAGCTCAATCGGAATACAATTCGTCCATGTAAACACCTCAGTCGGAATAGTCTAGTCCGATTGAGGCCATTCGGAATACAGTTTCTATCCGATTGAATGAGGTGGGTAAACCTCTAAATAATCTGATAAATAGAAGAATAATAGCTGTGTAAACGCCTGAATCCGATTACATTCCAATCGGAACGTGTAAGTATGTTCTGACCATGTGCGTCGCGTCATGGCAAAAGTTTATACCGTTCAACATGGCTGGAGACGAAGTTTCTGCTCTGATCTTTAAAAGACGGCGGTGGGACGGACGTCCAGCTTATGTGTCTCAGAGCACGACGTCTTCCTCTCGGCCTTCTTTAATAAGGACATGTGAGGTACGTTTTTCTGAGTCTGACATCATTTTAAAGCAGTTAAAAACTCCAGCACGCCAACTGGAAACTCATCTCACTCAGACTGGACCTCACGTGATGTTCGCTGTCATGGTAACGTTTACTCTAAGCGCTACTCCACGCATGCGCGTCATTTTGCATCGGATTACTTGTAGTGAGCATGTAAACGAAGATTTTCCATCAAATTGTTGAATAGAGCGCATATAAACACCTCAGTCTGAGTCTGTAATCGGATTGTATTCAATCGGATTGGCAAAAATCTTTGCATGTAAACACAGACACTGTCAGTCTTAAGGAGAGGTTAAAGACGTCAGTGAAAATCCCTGTCACAGATCACACCTTCATTGTAGGCAGTGATGGTGCACAGTCCACTCCACATACGTCTGAGATCAGAGCCAAGATAGTTGGATTCCACTCTGTCCCTGTAGCTCCTTTTGGCCAGCCTGATGGTCCTCTGAAGGTCATATCTGGCCTTCTTGTAGCTAGCCGGTCACCAGAGTTGTAGGCAGCAGCCAGAGCTCTTGGTTTGGCTCGAACTTCAGCATTGAAAACCTATTTGGCCAAACATTGAAAGTGTTTTTTGCCATTTTCGGCTGAATAATTTTGTTGCCGAACATTTGGTGCATCCCTCGATTAAATAGCTCTGAAATGTTGCAGATTACTTAAAGCCAAAATAGGTAGGTATTATTTTAATCAGTATTTTTGTGAGTGATTTCTAGTCAGTGTGTTCAATAATCTTACCAGCTCCTGAACAGGAACACGCAAGTAGTAACAGCAGAGGAGGCAAAGTAGCAGTGTAGCATTAGATTCCAGCAGATGTGACTCCACATCTGTTTCATTTTTGTTTGAGTAAATTCCAAATGTGTAAATTTACAAACATGTGGGAGACGTTCACAGAATTCACCAACATGGTCCCAGGAGTGTAAAGAGTACTGAAAATCCATACTCAAGTACGAGTACTGGTTACTGTAGTGATAATTTACTCAAGTACAAGTAAAGTATTAGTAATAAAATTACTTCCAGTAAGAGTAATGAGTACTTCATATAAAAACTCACTTAAGTACTGAGTCACTTAGTTACTTTTTCACATTTCCGCCGTCACACAACCTGAACATGTTTTCTGAGCTACTCGGCTACATCACTCGGAAATATCTGTACAGAAAAACAACACTAAAGCTAAAGTTCTGAGAGCTGAACACCTTTCTGAGAGCTGAGTCAGGAACAAGGTTTTACATTACACTGCCTGCATTTCATGGTTAAGATGATTATATATATGTCCCAGTTTATCTGTTTCCAATATAGTATTTTAGAGTCCCTGAAAGACGTGCAGAGGCTGTTCTTGTTTAATTAAGTATATTTAAAAGAAAAACACTGAGTCAAAAAGAATAATATAATTTTAGTGAGAGTCCTGCTGCCCATCAGCTCCCTGGACTCTAGCTTACGTTAACAGGTGTGAACCTCTACAGACAGTAAACACATTCACAGCCTTCACACTGTGTATTTACACTGATATCTGTTCAGAACATTTACACCATTAAAATCAGCAGCAACATCAGCAAATTACCCAGCTTTGATTTTACTGTAATATATTTCACTCATCATGCTGATCAGTTCAGACAGAATCAGACATTATTACTGCATTTCACAGTTAAACAGATACACAGACTCTCACAGTTAAAGACACCAAGAATGATGGGGGAGAGAGAGAGACAGACAAACAGAGAGAGAGAGAAAGGAAGAGAGAGAGACAGAGGAAGAGAGAGAGACAGGGGGAGAGAAGGAGAGAGGAATAGAGAGAGAGAAAGAAAGAGAATGGAACGTCAGTAGTCAGGCCAGTCAGCTTAGAGCGACAGCGCGAACAGAGTCTCTGTCCCAGAGTTGATGAAAAACCGTGTTAGAACTAGATATTTCGTGTCTCTCAGCCGTACACTGAGCGTTTATCTCCAAACAGCAGCTAAACTAGGCTGTATAAACGGTGAACTGCAGGCTGTGACACCTGTTAACTGAA